TCAACCTTTAGCTTCATCTCATACCATATTCTAGAATGAACTCAAAAATACATCACAAAATTACATGTAAAAGTCAGAACAACCAAATATCCATAAGAAAATATAGTAAGCCACAAGTCTTTCAGACCTCCTAGGCTGAATAATGGTATCAAATATTTGATCCCCTATCCCTTTTTCCCCCTGAACTCACTATGTAGACCAGGCTGTTCTTGAACTCAAAGCTTCAGAATGTTTATATTTCAAAAGAAACAACTACGAAAATGAAAATCAGACTGAAGATGTAGCTCAGTCTGATAGAGTGCTTGCCTAGCATGTCTGAGAACCTCATAAATAGGGCATGCTGGTGCGTGCCTGTAATCCTTTCACTTAGGAAGTAGAGACATGAGGATCAGAAACTCTAAGCCAGGTTTGGCAACTTATTGAGTTGGATACCAGTCTGGGATATATAAGTTCCTATCAAATGAAAGAAAGTGAAGGGGAAGGGAGAGGGAGGGAGGGAAAATCCTACAAAGCACAGAGAATTTTTTTTTTTTGCAATACATGTTCAGCAAGAGACTTGTAGCAAATGCTTATTTTTTTTTAATCCTTTTAATTCAGCTTAACCGTTGATGAACAACTTGTCTTAGCCTGTCTTCTCTGGTATACAGCATATTTGGGAGGAGGTAATTTATTAAGTGACAAAGTTTATTTTGGCTAGTGGCGACAGAGGTGGGGAAGTCTACGAGCATGGTGCCAGCATCTAGTCAGCTTCTGGGAACAAGTTCATGGTATGTGACTCAGAGCAGAAAAGCAGGATAAGCAAGTGTGTGGGAAAGCCACAGACCACAAAGGGCAAAGTTGCTTTATAACCACACTCTGTCCCACCATTACTCAACCCACTAAAGGAAGGCACTGATTCCCCTTAAAGACCTCATAAGGTTCCACCACCATCAATGCAGTATGGGAATCAAATTCCAATATAAGTTACTATACAGGACAAACACTAAGTTCTAGCCATTTCAGGCTAGCCTGGTCTACATACCAAGTTCCAAGATAACAACCATATCTACATACTGAGACCTTGTCTCAAAAGAAAAAAAAACACTAAAAAACAGAACAAGTAATATTTATGTTTCATTAAAGAAAATAAGTACAAATGAAAAGATGGTCAATACTATTAGTCAATAGTAAAATGCAAAGTTAAAAGGTCAAATAGCTATTTCCCACCCAGTGGAATAACTGTAACAAGTCAGACAAACTATAACAGATACTGATAAAGAAAAATGTTGGTAGGGATATAAAAATAGAAAAAAAAAGTTTGTCAGTTTCTCAAAAAGTTAAAAATAAAACTATGATAGGAACCAGCAAGTCTACTCCTAAGTACCTAAGTACCAAGATTTAAAAAGAGAGAGAGACGTGTCCCCATTGTTAAGATTTGGATATGAATTGATCCCCAAAGTTTCTAGTTGGTAGCACACATAAAAGGGAATGGACCATGAGTGTTCTGTCTTTAACAACAAACTATCCCTGCTGTGCTCTTAATGTGAGGGCCTTATTGGGGGTAGGAGGTGGACCAGTCTTTTACCAGGTAAGTATCTTTGCTTCATATACTTCTGCCATGGTGTTCTGCCTCCTTACAACACAGGACAAATGGGATCAGGAAGCCATGGACTGAAACCTCTTAAACGTAGCTGATATCTTCCCCTCTAAGTTGTTTTCTTAAGTATTTCCTCAGGGAAACCACACACATCCACATACAGATTTGCAAATGAAAATGCATCGAGGCACTATTTGTAATTGCATGTAACTCAAGACAATGTCCAGCAGCTAGTGACTGTATGAGGAGTGCAGGGTGCCACATATATACAATGGAAGATTACTCAACAATAAAAAGGAACAAATCAGTGACTTGTCGTGCTAGCTGTGAACCTCAAAAACTGTTCAAAAAGCTAGACATAAGAGACTCCATATTTAATGACACCAATTCTAAGTTTCCAGAAAAGACATTTTTATACACAGTAGGCATAGATTAGTAGTAGCCAGGGTTATGGGTAGGAATGGGATTAATTATAAATGGGCAAAATAGATGTTCTATAGCTAAGCCACAATGATGATGGTTGTACTTGGCAAAATTACTAAAAACTGTTGAACTGGCCAGGCGTTGGTGGCACACGCCTTTAATCCCAGCCCTCAGGAGGCAGAGGCAGGCGGATCTCTGTGAGTCCAAGGCCAGCCTAGTCTACAGATCGAGTTCCAGGACAGCTTCTAAAACAATACAGAGAAAAACCACAAAAAAAGAAAAAAGAAAAACTGTTGAACTGTACACTTACAATCACTGGCTTTTATAATATGCAAAACATACTTGATGTTTTTAAATATATATGTATACATATACACCCTGGATAAGAGAGGAGCACACGAAGGCCCACTCATTGCTGAGAAGCTACTGGCAGTGGACAGCTGCTCGTCTGGCTGGGGGTTGGAGGCTAGTTTTCTTCAGATGTGACTCCTGGTAGGTTGCCCATGCTCCAGTGGTTGGCCCTGTACCCATACACAGATTGGCAGCACCACATGGCCTCCGGGGGTTAAAAAGCAGTACATAAAACTGGAATGGAACGTGGTGGTGGTGTATGACAGGAGTTGAAAGGGAGAGAGTGTGGGGTGGATTTGATTAAAGCACATTGTATAAAAGTATGAAATTGTCAAATGAGTAAAAACGTATTTTTTAAATGCACATGCTTTGTTTCACCAGCCCCTTGAATTAACTGAACAACTGGAGTTGGATTGACTACGACCCACGTGCCCTAGTTTAATTTCTGTCATAAAACACCCTGATTATAAGCAACTCAGTGGAGAAAGGGAATATTTCAACTCCAAATTCCAGGCTCCATCCATTTCCGGAAAGTCAAGGCAGGAACTTGAAGCAGGCATACCCTCAGTCAAGAGCAGAGAGAGAATGAATGCAGCATGTTTGCTAGTGCTCAGCCCTCTCTCCACACTTGTACAATTAAGGCCCAAACGCAGAATGGGCGGGTCTTCTCATTTCAAGTAATACAACCTAGGCGATTCCCACAAACGCGCCCACAAGCTAGGTGATCCTTCATCAAGATTCCCTTCCTAGAATAGTCTACCTTGTCTGAATCTGATGATTAAAATTAACTATCGCACCACAGTGTCCCTTTAGGGAAGATGAAATCCTGTCAGGAAAACTTCAACCAGTCGCTCATTCCACCAGGCCTCTCCAGGAAAAGGATTTTCCTCATAAACCAAAGGTCTCTTCTGTTAGGTTTATACTTTAGGAGGGTGGTGCTTAGAAGCAGAGAGAAAATGTGACCTAAATAGATTGAAATTATCCTTTGACAATGGGCTGGGCAAACAAAAGCACTTAACAGAATGTGAAAGGATATGGGGCTAAGTTATATAACTGACCCTAAATGGCAAAGTAACTGCTTAACTGTGCAATGTCATAACAAAGCAGTTCTCAGCAAAGATGTCTCAGCATCATTCATTAACCTCTGGACCATCTCCTGGTTTTCTAAGACCCCGACTTATTGTCATCTCAACTTCACAGCCTTCACAAGACTTCAAAGAATTTCAGCAACAGTTTAGGTCGTTACAAAAATACCCGCTCAGGGAGGCCACGTGTGATCACTTCACTATAATCTGCCAACCTCATGAAGCTGCCCTCTCCTCCCCTAGTCTCAGGCTTCACACAAGTTTTGTGATTGTCTTGGTAGAAAGTAAGCCCCAAGAAAGCTCAGGTTTTGTTCTTTCCTAGAAGTCTGTTGCCTGGAACAGTGCCTCACGTGTGCTAAGAGCTCTCAGTGTTTTGTCATTGTACAAATGGGTATAACATATACCAAGAGAACAGGAATCAGTCGTTGAGAAATGATGCGTCTCTCCCTCCTCAGCATAACATTTCTAGACTGCTTACCTAACATTCATTCAGCAACAACAATGTAAAAAAAAGCTAATGCTTCACTGGTAATTCCCAACTTGTTACCAAGCATTTTTAACAAGAGCTGTTAAGAGGACAGGTAACAAAACCCCACGTGATTCTTATTAACTAATAAGAAAGCAAAGTTTAATACTTAACTAGAAAGTACAGTGTGAAATTTCCAAAGCCGTGTGTGTGTGTGTGTGTGTGTGTGTGTGTGTGTGTGTGTGTGTGTGTGTGTGTGTGTGTGTGTGTGTGTGTGTGTTGTTTTGTTTTGCTGCTACCATTGTTGTTACTGTTTTCTAAACCCTAACTGCAACCCCTTCACCAAAAACAACAAACCTCAAGAACACATGCCTAAGCAATCCTGACCTCTAGGGCCACAAATTCCATCACAATAAATCATTTTGCAACCCTGACCCCAGAAGCCTTCCTCAAACATTTTACACACATACCCACCTGCAGAGATGGGGACGTGGGGGGAGTACAACCTACTGCACTCCAGCATTTCACACCCCAAGCAGAGGAACCCCCTACCTCCTGGCTCTAGGCATGCCCCCCAGTCAACTCCACCATCAAAGGCCTGGTACAGGGAAGGCAGGGACCTCTCAGCAAGGCCAAAATTGGAGGACATCTTAGACTTCAGACCCTGAATCTGCCAATTCTCTGTGACCTTGGGCGTGCCGCTGGAGCTTTGGGGCTTGCGTTCTCTCACCTTTAAGGTGAAAACCATACCCCGACCGTGCCACACGAAGGATTAACTGAGGCCACAGGTGACGCTCCACGAAGGGCACCTGGCACGAGTGGGAGACCCACTCCCAATCCAACGCGGTGACTCTCCCATCCTCCCCATGCTCCAGGGCCCTCCAGACTGGGTCAGTCGCCCAGTTCTGCAGACAAGTGCGCTGAGGGGTAAAGAAGGGACCGGGGGCTCGCAGGGACCGCCAAGGCATAGTCCTTAACGCGGGTCCTCCCCACCCCACCGCGACCCACGCCCGGGCTGCTGCGCGAGGTGCAGGGGCTCCGGCTCGCCCGCGGGCGCTCCACCTGCCGCCCGGCCTCCCGCCCGCACCGCTGCACTCACTCTTCACTTTGCCGAAGGTGCCGACGCCCAGGGTGTCCCCCAGCACGTAATGCCCGATCTTCACCCTCCCGTCGTGCTTCTGCTTCTCTGCCATGTTCCGCACACGGCCTCCCTCAGCCGCGGGCCCTCAGCGCCGCCGCCGCCGCCTACCCACAGTGCAGCGGGCCCAGGGGGCGGGACGGGGACGCCGGGGGCGCCGGGCGCGGTGGGGCTGGCGAAGCCGGTGGGGCGCAGAGCCCAGGCGCCCCGAGGAAAGCCCCCGGGAGTGAAGATGGGAGGGACGAATCTGAGCGCGACAGAGACGGAAGGAGAATCTGCCGAGAAGTGGGGGGGGGGGGACAGGGGTGTGGACAGCGAGACTTGCCTCGGGGCAGGTAGCTGGAATGGGCAGCCCTCCCCTACCCCCTGGGATGCACCTCCGGCCAAGGCTTGTTTGTCTGGGAACGTTCTAGTCTGTGCCCTCTACAGATAGCGTCCAATTATTTTGTAACTCATGCTTGTTTTGTAGTTTCTAATCATGTTATGGTTAGGTCTCAAACCAAGGACAAACGGCTAACTGGGGTGCCTATTAAATGAATCAATCAAAGGTGATGCTGGCCGCCGGGTTCTCCCAGCATCCTTCCATTCCCACCCTACAGGGTCCTCCTGGGTACCACACCCCGCCCCCTACCTTGAACTATGCAGCCCAGACACTGGACTGCCACTGACCCCCATATTCCTCAGCCATTTTGGCTACACTGGTCCAGGCTCTTCTCTTGCTCTCCCTCGCCCTCTCTCCTCACATGGTCCTGCTCAGTATGATCCTGTTCACTCTGGACCCTCCCACATGTCTCTGCCTCGCTTCTGCCCGTATTGTTCGCTTTTTATTTACTATAAACCTTTTCCACTATCTTAGGTTTTCTGTTGCAGTAGGAGGAAACATGACCAAAATGCAAGTTGGGGAGCAAAGGGTTTGCTCGGCTTACACTTCCACAACATTGTTCATCATCAAAGTCAGGGCAGGAACCTGGAGACAGGAACTGATTGCAGAGACCATGGAGGAGCGCTGCTTTCTAGCTTGATTCCCGTGGCTTGCTCAGCCTGCGTTTTTATAGAAACCAGGACCACCTGCCCAGGAATGGCACCACCCACAATGGGCTGGGTCCTCCCCCCATTAATCACTAATTAAGAAAATGCCTTACAGCTGGATCTTATGGAGGCATTTTCTCAGGTGAGGTGCCCTCCTCTCTGATAACTCTGTGTCAAGTCGACAAGCCCCACATTAACCATACCTGGGAGCAGTTATGTCCTCACTTTTCTTCATGCAGTTACATAGACAGTCATGTTTTATAGATTAAAGAACCCACTCCAGCACTATTGGTTTTAACTAATTTGAACAAAAATTCCCAATAAATGACAGACACGACCCTAAGCGTATATCTGCACCTTCGAGCACATTCGTTGTGTGTGTGTGTGTGTGTGTGCACATATACGAGAGACTGGACAAGGGGAAAATAGTGAAAAGAAATATGAAAAATAAGTTACATGTTCCAGTTTATGCAAAGCAGGTGATAAAAATATTGTGAATCGTGAGAATGACGTAAATGAAAAAAATTAAAGAGATAAGTGTACTGGAGATGGAAGTGAAAAAATAGTAAAGGAAACTCAAATCATAATGACCAGAGTATTAGAGATGGCAGGTAATTTAATGATCAAGCAATTTCTTCCTCCCTCCCCTTTCATCCTTCTCTCCTTGCTTTAATGCCCCCCATTATTTAGCGTTGACCTATCTTTCCATATCTGAAGATGATTTGCTTCCTGTTACAGAAATAGTATGAAGCCTCATACTTGCATTAGTTCCAGTTAGCCATTGCCTGAACACATACATACACGTTTCAAAACATTACTAATACTTGCAGTTTTGCCCTTGAAAACGGACAGAAAAAGGGTTGTTTGCTATTTGGGGATAAATTATTAAAGGTTAGTCAAACATTTGTGACACTACGCATGCCAATAGAATTTCGTGGTCACATTCCTCAAACATGAAGTTCAAGTCACACTGTTCATATGTAAATGGTGAACCAAGAAAGGTGTATAACAAAACTTCGTTTTCTGATAACTACTAAGCAGCCAACTGGCAAACTCATGCTTGTGTGTACACGGCGATCTGATGAGAGATGATCTCAGCTTATAAATTATAGACATCACAGCTGTTGGACACAAGCTATTTTGGTTCATTCTTCAGATCACCTTTCTTGCTGACAAGAAGTCTCACTTAAGAATCTCAACCTAGCTGGCAATTCGAGAAAGCTCCCCAGCTATTTTTAAGACTGAACTTTTCACCAATTAAAGGTCATTCCTTCGCTAACCATTCAAGTGGGTAAGAAAACTGTATAGCTATTGTGCTTTAGGGTCACATATTTATGTCTGTGTTGTCCTAATCACCCAGTAGATGATGTTGAAGAGTCTCTAAAATGTGATGCTACATGAAGCTATAAACTGAGATCTTAAAGCATGTTGCATTAGCTATTCACCAACAATTAAAATGCCATTGTTATTACACTAACTTTGGAGTTTTATTCTAAACATAAATAATACTTTCTTGATTAAGAAGTTCATTTAAACACAATTATTTCCCATCAAGGAAAGTTATTTTATAGCCCCACCCCCAGGCTATAAAACCAGAGGCAGAAGCTGCAGACTCAGATCAAGTACCAACTTGTCATTTTCCATCTTCCTCATCACAGCTAAAACAGTGTGGTACTCTGTAAGCTGATGTATTCATAGCCAGAGACCAGTTCTCACTTTTTTATTTCTAAAGCAGACCCGTTTTCAATCCTGTTGGAGCTTTATTAGTGGGAAAATGGAAAGCTACATGGGTGAGACAAATAGAAAGGTCTTTAATGTCAATACCATCTTCCTTCCCACTGTATACTTCATATACGATTCCCTGTTTGCTTCAGCAATACAAAATGCTCTATATAGATGGCTCTATATGTGTCTATATCTCCTTGCAGCCCTAAGGGATCTCACCTAAAATATTGCAAATGCAACATATCCCATTTTTATTATCTTCCAGTGATGTTTTAGGGTCACTGTTGTTTAGGGCAAATAGCTGAGATTCGTATCCAAGGAAACTATTCAGTTCAGGCTACTGGTCTAGCTGTTGTTGCTTTAACTCGCTCCAATTGAACCTTGCCGTTATTTTCCTTCAAATATTCTAAAGTAGGACCTGAGTGGGAGACAGGAATACTACTAGACTAGTGGTTCTCAACCTTCCTAATGTTGCTATCTTTTAATACAGTTCTTCATTGCTACTTCATAACTGCAATTTTGTTACTGTTATGAATTGTACTGTAAATACCTTCATTTTCCAATGGTCTTAGATGATCCCTGTGATAGGGCCATTTGGTCCCCAAAGAAGTCATAACTCACAAGTTGAAAACCACTGTACTAGACTGAAGTACTACACTAGATTTCGCTGGTGTTACCAGATACAGCAAGCCATCTCCAAGTTCAGGAAATTTTTAAAAATAAATTAACCATCCAACATCTATAATACTCAAATTTCACATTTTTGTCTGTATTCTCTTTACTTCTTCAAATTTTGTAATTTGTAGAGAGATTGGATAATTCTCCCCTTAAAAATGATTGGTCAACTGGACTCCAGGAGCTCAGCCCAGAGCTTTGTATAGATCTCTACATCTGCTGGATAAAGATTCTATGATGATAATTACAGGTAGTTCAGGCACCCTCTCCACTATTGCTTAGGGTCTTCGCTAGGGTCATCTTTGTGGATTCCTGGGAACTTCCTTAATGCCAAGTTTCTCAATAGGCCCATAATGACTCCCTCAATCAAGACGTCTTTACTTGCTCTTCCTCTCTGTCCTTCCCCCATATCCATCATCCCATCCCCTCATGGTCTTCTCCCCACCCCTGTCCCTTTCTCCCCTTCTCCTCCCCTTTCACCTCTCCCCCCCCATGTTCCCAATTTTCTCAAGAGACCATTTTGGGGATACCCACAGAAGCAGCTGACCTGAGCTAGTGGGAGCTCACTGACTCTGGACTGACACTGGGGAACCTGCATAGGATCAAACTAGGCCCTCTGAATGTGGGTGACAGTTTTGTGGCTCCAGCAGTCTGTGGGGCCACTGGCAGTGGGACCAGGATTTATTTCTAGTGCTTGAACCTGCTTTTTGGAGGGATACCTTACTCAGCCTAGAGATAGGGGAAAGGCCTTGGACCTGCCTCAAAGTGACTTTGTTGACTCTGCATGGGGAGCCTTATCCTCTCTGAGAAGTAGATAGGTGTGGGGTAGGCGGAAGGTGGGGAGAGCAGGAAAAGGGGAGGGAATGGGAACTGGGATTGGTATGTAAAATGAGAAAAGGTTGTTCTAAAATTAAAAAAAAAAGAGTTAATAACACACTGCTTAGAACATGGCCATCTGCCTGCACTAGCTTGAAGCTTTTGTTTTGATCTAGTGTCCTTGTAACCACAAAAGCTACCAGCCTGAGATCAGGCTCTGAGTTACATAGTTGATGAGTGACAATAATAACTCTGTTTATCAATGATGTCAAAACTTGAGGGAAAATGATTGGGAATGATAACTCAGTTCAGTCATGGTTTATTAATGGTAACTAGAAAATGAGCAAAAGGATGTAAAACACATATCCATAAACAAAAATAATATGATCTATGTTTTAATCAACATGAATGTATTGCTACTTACTAACTTCAGTATAAATAAATACTGTGACCGCTAGTCAATCAGGCTGCAAGATTCTCCCGACCATTGTGGCCTGGCTCGCTCACTTCCTCACTACTCCTTACATCCCCTGCTGGGACCTGCATCTCTGCCTAGGATTTGCTTCCTCTCTGTTCATCTCTCCTTAAAAAAAAAAAGGATTGATCAAGTTGATATGTGTGCTTGTGCATAATAAAGACTTAAATGGCCAATAGCTAGGCAAGAGGTGATAGTCAGGGCTTCTGGGGGAGAGAGGAACTCTGGGTTAGAATCTGGCGTGGGAGATGCCAGTGAGACACTGAGGAAGTTGGAAGTACAGTATGGAGGAGAGGTAATGAACCATGTGGCAGAACATGTATTAATAGAAACAGGTTAATTTAAGTTATAAGAGTTAGTTGAGGACAAGCCTAAGCTAAAG